ACAAATATAAGTAACGGGTTATTTACCTATGTAGTTAGACTACAATTAATTTAACGTTTTAATTTAATTTCAAACATTTAATTCGTTTAATTTATTCGCTAGCAGCCTTTCGCATTAATTGTAAAGTAACTTTGTATAATTTTATCACCAGATGAGGTTCGTTTCGGGGGAAATACAGACCGGAGTAAAAAGTTTTTTAATTTTTTTTAAAGAATAAAGTGATTATTTTAACATAATGTTGARCGTAGTTTTGATAAAAAAATGGCCAAATAAAATTATGTAATTATAAAATCTTGGTATCAGTGTATCACAATATTATATTATTATGCTATTAAAATAAAACTTGACCGTTGTACATGTCTATTGTTCGCCTTGGAAGTCAATTTCTTTTTAATAGATTTACCAATACAATCTGAGTTTGCACTACAAATATATTAAAATATCATGCGGTGCAGCCAGGCACATAGATAGTTGCTTATTTTTTTTTTTTTTTGGGGGGGCGATTAACCTTTTTCAGAATGCTATAGGCTTAAAAATTGTGCAACGTTGTATACTTTATAATCATTTATTATAATGTAGGTGATTTATTTTTATTGTTAAACAAAGTTTCAAAATACATGATTATATATATAGGTATATAATATTATTGTGATAATCATAGGTTCAGGTATAAATACAATAATTCCATACAATTTATCTTGCTTCGGAGTCTTAAAGTTAATAAGAATTTAAAAAAATAATAACAAATTATAGTTAGTATTACTCTTATATAGTAAAAATTATAATATTAAATCAGTATTCCTTTTTTTGGCTAACGATTGAGAACACTTAAAAATACCGCTGACCCCAAAAAAACCCAAAAAAGGATACGATTGAAAACGAATTTACGTCGCAACGTTGCCATATCATTTATTATTTATAATTTAACAAATATTCTTGAAGAAAATCATAGTAATATAAATATGTTTAAAAATGAAAAAAAATGTAGAATTATAAGAATATGTATTATAATATATGTAAAAAAAAGTAAAACATTTGGCAACGTTGAAAATAAAATAAAAATATTGAGCGTTCTCAATCGTGTTACCAAAAATAACGTTCTAAACCGTAAATGTTCTCAATCGTATTTTACCGCTTTTTTCATAGAAGCAAAGCGTTTAATTATATCATCAACYGAGTTTTATTTTTTTTATTAATTATAAGCTACTACAATATTGCGTTTGGCGGCGGGAGGGGGGTCGATCGCTCCCACCACCTACCTCTAAATTACGTGTTTGGGTGGAGTTGCTTGGAAAGTATGTTATAATAATACATATGTTATAAAAATTCATAAGTACTTCCTCTCAATCGCGATGACAATTTTGGTAAAGAAATGGATTTAAATATTGATTTATTGTCGCTCAAATGCTGRATCGCCTAACTATATAATATATCATAACGTTTTCACATCGATGATTCATAATATTTATCATATTAATGTACATTTCTTTGTTGAATTGTTTTCGTAAACCCGCGATGTGCAGTGTAAATTGTGTGTTGTCAACCGCACGAATAGGTGCGCTACAGCAACAAGTTTTCGTAACCCTGGATCGTTGACATTGCAGTGCAGGCGGCCAGTGGACATCGTCGTCGCAGCGGTCGCGTTCGTTTCTCTCCCAAGTGTACAACATTTTATTATTATTATTATTATAAGACGATCGGAAAATGCACTGCAAACGAGTTGAATAACTGGTGTGTATAATAATAATAATAATAATAGTAAAAATCCGAGACGGAATGTGGCGGTGGCGGCGAACGTGCTCATCCGCAGTGCACTCTGTTGCACGTCGACGATGACGTAACAACTAGCTTAAAATAATATTATTATATACATAGTCAAATGATTCAAACCGACGTCGTTCGGTAGACGAGAGCTACAACATCAGTCGACCAAGACGATTTCGTATACTTAGTGCCAGTGGAGTATTATAAGGGTAGGCTTAGTGGGCTGCAGACCCTCCTCCCCCGAAATTACAGTCGTAACTGTTAAATGTATAGTAGCCTCTAGTATTTAAGTGCTAGATCATTTGTTACTTGCTATATATTATGGTCCAATCCAAAAATTATTTTATTTCTATAATCTATATACACGCCACTGCATAGTACGCCTATATTTTGTAATAATAGGCAATAGCAATGTAAAATGCCTATACATGCGTATTACGTACGTGGCCATCATAACCTTTACGAAGAATATTTATGTAAACAGAAAATAAATATTCGCGGTAGATAAGACATTTTTAATTTGACACCCATTATTTCAGTCTATGCCTCTATGGATATGAGTTGAAATAAAATTTTACTTGTATGTATAAAATTCACTCGGAAGACACGTCGAGTACACGATGTACATAGTACATTCAACATTGTACTTTGATATTCACATAATATGGCTAAAACACATTTATATTATGAAATAAGCAAAGACTTTCTAGCTATAGAGACTATATTATTAAATAGTTAATATACAATATGCGTAATGCTATTATCATATTAACATTTATCACACTGTATATATAAATAACGAAATAAGTTTTATATTATTTTTAGATTGTATTACGGTTATTCAATATAACAAACATTTGAATATTTAATTTACTTTTAATTTTATTTAATATATACTCGTACCTATTGATATAGTAATATTAATACTAAAGATTAAAAATTAGTAAAACAATAATAATTGTTATGTTTATACTCTTTCAATTTTCAATCAAGTTCAAAGTATAATATTTATATTATCCTTAAAATACCAGAGTATGGTTGTTTTCGAATAATGGTGTAGAAATAAAATCGTTATCACACCAGTCCCAATGGCATAGCCAGAATATTTACAAGGGTGGACGGGGAGGAGGGAGTTAGTCGTCTTGACTGGGAGGGTGACAGAAGGCGACTAATGAATATTATACCTAGCTATATATAGATATACTTTACTACACCGAACAGCGGTCCCTAAAGTGCCGTAGAATATTATCTGGTTTAAAAATAATCTTAAATGATAAGTCATACTTTGGCTTAGAAATGGGTGCCGTGGGAAAACTTTCTTTCTAAAAGGAATAAAGGATACTGCGAGTTGGAAATCTTAGGGAACTACCTACTACCATAGAACATAAACAAAAAAAAAACAATGAGTGGTAATAGATATATAAGTATTTAACACCCAAAACTTTCCCAAACTAGGCAACCCTCTAAAAGCTCATTTCTGTAATATAAATTGGATGCAGAAAAAAAACGTCTCACAAACCAAAAAAAAAAAAATCGTTTATACCTTATTGTCAAGAAAATTCTTTTGATAACGTTCTCTGCTCACTTCATACCTTCTTGGGTTTCTTAACTATTAGTGGTCTACCAGCTCCTAAGTAGTCGGTGATTACTCGGGGGTTCACTGACTGATTTTTTTCTTCAAATGATCCTAAAAAACCTACCTATTCGATGACTCAGTATAAATTGTAATCAACAGCGTTTAACTTCATTATAAGAAAATAATGTACATTTTTTATTAATCTATAGATTCTGCCCATACACATGCAAACACGGATACGCATATTAAATTATTCTTGTGAACTTCAACACTATACGCGCTGATGTGATAATAATATAATTGATTTAAGATCAAAAGAAGACTGAAATTTTTTTATCAACAATTTCATCCAATTTGGTGACTTATTTACACCCACAACCTGTATCCAGGGCAATGCGATTTTCGATTCCAATCGTCAACGTGGCAAACGTGGAATTGGTTCCCCGGTCAATTAAAGTGTAGGTACGAATTGGTTCCTGAAAAAAATACTTTCCGGTATACAATTGTTCAAATTGGTTCCTGAATAAAATTACTTATCAGTTTAATAGTATACAACTCATTGTTACAAGATACGTGTATGCACAATCGATAATCTTATAATATTTTACTAGGGTTTACGATGTCTGGGAAAGCTTATAAATATAATTTTATATCTAAAAGATTGATTAGTTAATTGAATTCAAGAAAGAAAAAAAATTACTGAAAAGGAAAAGTTAATTGATGAAAATATTAAAAAATTGAAAGAGGTCCAAATTTCGAACCTATAGTTTGTTAAAAGTGTGTGTTGTAAATTCATGCTACACTAATTTTTTTCTAATATTATTTTGGTACCTATTATGACTTATTTTTACAATATTATTACTTATTATAAGCACAATTATAATTGTTGATAAATACTTGTGTATCGTATATTATGTATACATTAATATACCATACCTAGGTATTCTATAGATAGTGTTTGAAGTATTCGAACTATTTGAATTCTGAMCAGTGCTAAGTCTGAATAAATGGAAAGAAAAATTGTTCCTGGTTGAATATTTCATAATAATTCAAAAAGAGAATTTAACAAGGTCGCATTATCATGAAAGCTTGCGGGAACCAATTCATATGTTACCTGTAGATAACCCGGGAACCAATTCGACAAATGGAAATCAATTCGTAGTCGTCCGCCAACGCATAATAATATCTCTGGCGATTCAGGATTTTTTTATTTGGGTGGTCAGATTGAAGTCCGTAGTTATATACCTACTCACTTGGTATCTATTTATCATATGTTGGGTACTTACCGAAAAAGGTTAAGAACCCTAGCCCTCTGTATACCACTAGTACGTATTGCTATGCGTGATTATCGTAAATCGACCCAACGCACAATTTATATTTTCTGACTATATTATAATACTATACCTACGCTGCAGGTCGCGCCGCCCGACCGTGACCGAGACTTGAACGTCCGCCGCCTCGTGACTGTGCGACGATAAACTAAATTGCAACAATAACTGAACAACTATAACACAACGGACGGAATAGTATATAATAATAATAATAATAATAATATAACCGTTTGGTGGCGGAGGCGGTGTCGATATCGTCGCGGACGCGGCAGGAACAGGAACAGGAGCCGGAGCAGGAGCAGCGTCACCGTTGCGGTCCATTGTCTGCGCGCGTTCATTGTGTCGTCGACCGTCGTCGCAGCGGTACGCACATCATCACAATCGTCATCGTCGTCGTCGTCATTCGGCTCGACTATGGACCCAGCGACGGTAGCGTTACTATTGTCGTTCTCGGCGCTCGCCACTGCCGCCATTGGCAAACCGCCGGACGGCCGCGACGCGTTCGGTTACCCGGACGACGAGCACGTGATCATCACTCAGTACGGACCGATGCGGTACGAACCGGTCACCGCGGACCAGATGAACAGACCGTATGACGATGGTGCCGCTAAACCCGCGTCGTCCGGGCGTGGCTATTACAAGGCCGAGGTGATACCGTTGGACATGAAAACCTGGAAGCCCGCAGTCGGCGCCGATGGCCGTTGGGTCGGCAGAGCGGCCACCGGTGGCCGGGTCGACTCGTTCGACGTGCCACTCCGGGTCGGCTATTCGGTGCGGCCCGCGGCCCGTCGACGCCGTCACGACTACCTGTTGATGGGGCAGCGGCCGCGCCTGCAGCCACCGCAGCAGAACCATCGTCAGCCGGTCGCCCAACGTCGACGCATCGACATGGCCAGCCCTTTGGAGGTACCGATACGACCACGGTGAGCATATTAATGGTATTTATCACCAAATCACATCTATATTATAGGCATGATTCTAACAATAATTCAAAGTGAACGACACGCAAAGTTAACTAACTCGACTCTCAAGTTATTTCGGTTGGGAATGTCAAGTAAGAATATTGTACTAAATTGCTGCAGTTAAAAAAATAAATAAAAAATATATTCAACTCTAAAGGTTACATTTTGATACGGAAACTCTGCAGTTGTGTTTGGAACAATAACTGCGTATAGTAAGTTATTACCACCTGCGTCGAACATGATCATTGTACGATTTACTATTTATTTTTAGGATTCATCATACATAATATTCATCATTTAGCTGGATATTTGTTTTTAAGATAAATTATTAAATCAATTAATATTATTTAGTGGGTTATTCTTATATTATCTAAAGCCACTGTGTGTTGTTGGTTATATTTACGTGGAAAAAACTAAACCATTTCAACGGTTTGGTTCTGTGCTTAAATATTAGTTTGGTTAAAACTTAATTAGAAAATTAACTATAGTATTTAYTTATATAGTTTAAGGAAAAAATGGTTGTAGGGCCGTCGATGATGTTGATCTAGACTCAGTCGAGTAAGACCAATTTGAATATTGATAATAAAATATTGCCGAAACGCATAAATTCGTATTAAAAATAAGATTCCCCSCGCTGAAACGTTAGGATAATATTTTAATATCATTCGCTCATTATGATGTAAACATTGTCAGTTGCAATTTTTTTTACAAAACTCGCCCGAACGCGAACCATATCGCAGCTCAAGATCGCTTTTGGGTTCATCGTCATTGCTTTCAAGTCTACTTCGTGGACGATGGTCCGCTTAACGTTCGACCGACCAGCTCTTGTATATTTCACTTTATTTTTTATCTGAGACACTTACGTACATTATGTACTGTTACTTATAAGATATGACRGTGCATAGAACCATTTTGATTTTCTTATTTAGACCATAGTGATAATAATAATAATATAATATAAATGTCATAAACCTATATAGTGGTTGAGGGAGAAGGYCTAACCAACAAATTCAATAAAAAAAGGTCCTGACCGCAATCTATAAATACAGTGTAAGTGTAATTTATGGTTCAATTTTTTTGAAAACAGTGTTATAATATATGTATAATTTTAATTCATAAAAATCGAATTTAGGACGAGTAGTTTATAAATTATAAGTATTTAAAGTTTTGACAAGCGGAGTAGTGCACAAACATTTTGCGGGGTAACTCCGTACCACTCCACTCTGCCAATCTAAACTTTAAATACTTATAACTCATACACTACTCGTCCTAAATTCGATTTTTATGAATCAAAATACTTAAAAAAATATTCTGCTTTGGAATATGAAATTAAAACTCTATGTTGTTATTCAAAAAAGTAAAAAACTTAAAAAATTATAAATATAAAAAATATTTAAAAATATAATTTTTTAATAAAAACGTTGGTTTTTTTAATAACTTGAAACTATGTAAAAAAAATTTTTGAAAAAAGTCAATACTTTTTAAAATAATGAGTGTTGTTTGATAAATCAATCACCCTTATATATTATACCTATTTAAAGAAATATTTCCTTGTAGGTACATTGGATATTAACAAAAGTGTTTTTTAAATAAATAATTATATTTTTAGTTATAAATATATATAAAAATCATGAGTTTTTCCAATTTGCCATTTTGAATTTATATAACTGAAAAAAAAATATAATATATTTGAAAAACACTTTTGGTTAGACCGCTATAATGTACAAAAAGCATAAMAGTGATATCTCTTTAAATTTTTACACCATTTCAAGACAATTTGTCCATAATTTATAGGTACCGTAAAAATTAGACTACAGTTGGGAAATTTTTTTTAATTAAAATTTTTGGCCTGACCTTTTCCCTTTTAATATAATATATATTATTATTATTTATTATTATATTTTGAGGCCTAACATTACGTTTAAGTTGCTGTAGCTCTCTAGCGTAAAGGCGGGTTTATATCACATATTCAAGTATTATATCGTATACACGAAACACGGTCAGCTATGTCCAACAACAACGTAACGTGGTTAATCTTATGGTTACCTAACTTAACTAACCAAACAGCAAAGGATTTACTCGAACGTGTATAGTGGAAATTCACTTTAAAACTCGCGCCGTACATAAATACCTACATAAAGGTGATTCACCACGATCGCATAACCAACCATATCATGGCTCATCGCTTTATTCAATAAAGTTTATTGTTATTTGTTATTGTTATGTGCGTACCTACTGCGGTCGTCTACGTTTTGTTGATAAAAAATTAAGTAAAAAGGGGGTTCGCATCACTCCGTGTCGAGTCGTGTAAATACATTTTCTSATTGRCTAAACGTGTGGTCCATTAAGGTATACCWTTGTATGGTTAATGGGTTGATCGTTGTATCATCACATGGTATGCCATAGTAACTTGCAAGCGATTCCGTATATAGTTGAATATATTCAACTTTTGGCCGCAGGGATACAGTTGTGTGCAGAAAATTGATAATTAAAAAAAAAATATATATATAAAAATGTGAAATGTTAATCATCTGGTATGTTATTCATATCATTGGTATTGCATTTTGGTATATAGGTAGGTACGCATAAAAAACGCACGTTATTAAGGCATATGGTCATTAAAAACACGACACGACACGGTGTAAGTGTGAACCCCTCTAAAGAACATATGAAACGAGTAGGTCGACYGACTGGTTCGATCCTCTGATGCGTTTAATGTGCCATAAAAGTTACAATAACCTTTAATGTTATTGCTGCAGTCGAGGCCTATGCTTTATATAATATTATTACATGGGCGATGCGGGTGTAGAGAAAACTTCTGGGCTTAATTTATTATAATATGTCCAACTTAATAGATATTTTAAACGATTTGACGTTAYTCTCGACTCGCCCCTACCACATTATCATATACCGGACCTACCACTGCGATGCGCGTAGTTGCAGCTATAATAGTTTCCCCAGGAAACGGACGTCGTAATGTCGACGAAGAGATAGTTATAATAATAATTATCATTTCTTATGTAATAATTATATATTAAATATTAATAATAAAAACTCATGCACCTCTAACATTCCGCTGAAAAACCTTTTTATTTTAAACCGGTAAACTCAATATTATATGATCAACGTGTTATATGCAGCGTTAAAACCTTTAATCTATATTTAACTTAAGACATTCATCAGGTATTTAAAAAACTATTAACGTTTAAAAAAAATGAGCRTTTTTTAARCAGATGTTTAATTTTTTAATGACAATAACATGCATTTTTATTCTTTATTCCAATACAACGCGAATATTGATTGATGTAACTCKATACATAAAAATGAATTTTGGACGAGTACCTACCTAGTTTATGAGTTATAAATTATAAGTATTTAAAGTTTTGATGAGTTATGAGTGAAGTGGCGGGTTTCTGAGATACACCACAAAATTCTCAAAATGTTGGTCTACTACTCCCCTCGACTAAACTTTTAATAGTTATAAAGTTAAAACTAATAAACTACTTATCCAAAATTTAATTTTTATAGACCGAAATACTTCGAATAATAGTCTGTTTTGGAATATAATGAAATTAAAAATGTATGTAGTCATTCATATAATGTATAGAATTTAAAAAAGTGGTAACGATAAAAAAAGTAAAAACTGCATTTTTTCTTCTAAAAGAAATATGTTTGCTTTTTCTAAATTAACAATATGTCAATAAGTGCCTTACGTAGTTACGTTAAATGAATTTCTTGCTCTCGCCTTATTCGACTATGTTAATGATAATAATATGTTTACAGCGTCAGCAATGGACATAGGGCAATGTATACAATTAATGTATTATGCAATAATAGAACATCGATTGTAGGTGAAATGAAATGGCGACGAAAAATTTGTGGGAAATTGTTCGTATATGTAATAAACTGTTATATTATATGATTTTACTTACTCGGATTTATGGATTTATTTGTTTATATTATTTATGATATAATTTATAAACAATATATAGCGAATGAGATAAATATAAAACGTATTAACGGCTATTTACGTGAAAATTTTTAATTTTTTTGTTTATTGTTATTAGATATAGRCAAAGCAAAACTAGGTGAAAACGATAATAAAAATAATGGATAAAATAAAAATCATATCGTTGTATGCTAAAATTAATTAATCTATACTATTTAAAGAACAATTTTAACCTTAAAAAACGATTAGGTACCTATTGTCTTTTAGTTTTACGTTGTACCAARGTACGGTGTCACGGGGGAGGGATTCTCGAAATTCCATTAATAACGCATTTCGAGGCCGAAAGCTTTGTGCTGTAATACCGGCGCAACAACCTGCGGGAATTCACAAAAATGGGTAAAACGATTCATCTACTTAGTCAAGTTTTAGGCTTTTAATGTTGGCAAAGGTAGGTATAATGGTGCAGTAAAGGTACGTTTTAAATTAAGACACGAATATTATGATGACCAAGGTAAACGTATACCTATATACATGAACTACCGAAGTTGTCAAAACACTGATTAAAGGATCCGTAAAAAAACCAAAAGCCACGAAACTCAAAATTCAAAATTATATTATTGTAATAATAGTAATTATTATGTTGATTATGTATTGTTTTTTGTTAACAATCAGATAATAATTACGTTCAATGAGTGATTTGTAGATAATACATACTATTGCTTACTATATTGCATTTTATCAAAATTTACTAAAACTGCAGACATCTTTGGAATTGCTGCGATTCGGGTGGCGTACCTATATGACGTTTATAATATTATTTATTCTCCCAGGAAACGAGGATGTCAAATTAATCAAAATCTAAATTACAGTTTTCCCGATTTTCTCTTTTTTTTTCATAAGATTTTCGAATGYATAACATTAAGTGCCGTGATGATTTTTAGGCTATTCAAATTAATATTGTATTTATATTTTACGCTACAGAGACATTTTGTGCTCTATTTGTCATTACTAAAAACTCGTCAGATAATAAGGCGGTATGTATCTATTACGTTATTGAACGAAGTCAACTAAAATATCTTATTGTTATTAATTAGTTTAGTTTTTTGCAGTAGTTAAATAATAATAATGAGGTACCTACCTACAAACCGTTGAATATTTTTTAAATCAGATTAGTCTTTTATTAATGCCTTTGACTAACATTTAGAATTATATCCATCATTTATTATATAAAATGTGTTATTATATTATAGCACAAGAATACAGAACTATAACAATGKTGATCAGCATAACAAGTTTTTTCTTTGTATGAGACCTATCCATATATTGTTATAATAACATTATGAAATAATGACGTAGGTACTATATAGGCACTATCACGATTTAATTTCTATTTGCGATTGCTTATACTTATAGGTACATATAGTACAATTTTATTTGTGACTTAAGCCTTTAACATTTGAAATCGTTCGTTTCAGAGTGACATATTGTAACGTATTGACAATATTTTGAGATTGGGTCATAGAATTTCACCATTACGGCATATCAATAGCTGATATTGTTATATCGACGACAATCGCAAATAATATTACGCTATATGCTGTCGGTTACGTGAGCAYTACGCTTATATATTATTGCAATCGTAATAATATATTTTACTCGTACAATACAATAATTGCTTTATAAATTTATAATACACGTGACGATTTACATATATAAATACTTAACTATTTTTATTGCAAAACGTTTGAATTTATCGGCGACTTTCAATTACATCGATTCAATTTAAAATCTCAATAAAAGTTGCATGGTTGTCGATAACTTTCGAAGCACTCGTCTGGTGTATGGCCGGAAAAGTACGTTGGCGTAAAAAGATAGGAAAAATTAAACGATTTCGAGTAACTAAGTAAAATTGGCCTAATTATTGTGTGTGTAATAAAGGGGGATGAGTATATACCTCCTATATATATATATATATATATATTAATTATATATATATACACAAAATATTGTCCGAAAATATTTCAAGGCCGATTTAGCCAGTACCTTACCTAACCTTACGATTGTGTTTATTTATTATTAATCAGACATATTTTTTATTCTAATTCGAAATCCATCGGTTAGCCGGAGGATTGAAGACACCTGCTGCAGCAGGTGATGATTTTCTAGCATGTCTGCGATGCGTACACCGTGCATAAACAATAATGTATCGATTGGCTTTATATATATCCTGTCCCAGTACGTTTACCTACCTATATTTACGGACCTTGAGCGCGTGTGTATAAACGATTGTACAAATTAGCGTTTAGCGAAATGAATGTGTAATATTCTTAATTTTGTTTTCAAAATTATATTGTTTACACGAAATTAACATTATGTTAAATACGCTTAAAGTATAATAATGTATGTTAACCGTGTTTTCTATGCGCACATATCATACGCATGCATAACTATTTAGCTTAGATATTATATGAACAAACTCGGCGWGTGCCCATAGGTAGTTTTAGATTTACTGAAAATACAGTTCCTACTAAATTACATATTATTCTGAGTAGTGAGCTGTTTTGATTTACCATATACGTTGAGTTCAATTTATAATATAAAATTTAATATGATAATGTACCTACGGGCTACGAGACTAACATTGCAATGACAACAATTATTATTTAATACCTACGTGGTGGTGCAGACTATTTTTCATGGCTTATTAATGTATAGTTATATGGATGCTTACTCAGCTATTCCAACTAAAGTAGAATTTTATTAACTAGTTCATGTAATTTTAATCCAATAATTAAAAAATCTTGAGCGTAATAATAATAATAATAATATATCTATATTTAAATTGTAAATTTGTAACTTCCTATTATGCGTCCGTATATTATTATTATTATTATTTATTTTATTTAAAAATGTAACCTAGGCTAATAACTTGCGATGTTGAAGACATAATTTAATAATAATTATATATATATATATAAATGATATATTTGCATGATTATTACTAAATAGTAAATTAGTTAACGTGTAGGTATTTTTATTTTAAAGCATTTTGTTCAATAAACATATGTGATAATAAAATATTAAATATTGGACATATTATTTTCAGATTTACTAGATGTTTTGAATCATACTAAAATTTAACATACCTGAAATAATAGTTGATATATATATATATACGGTGCAATAGTTTAATCTAACCTAACCTAATCTACGACGAGGAACCTAATATTATTATATTTACGCTAATTTTTCCAGGTCTTCGAGAAAAATGTTGTTATTATACATTATCATGCCTAATAATCATTAATAATTATATTCGTTTTCCATTAATTTGAATATTTTAATGTTTAGGTTTTTTGAAGGAAGAGCTCTGCAGTTTGCCTGAAGCTTAGCACAATGAGCCAAGAGAACTATGCGAGAATCATGCGTGGATAATATAACATATTATGACGTATGTGTTAATTCTATAATTCAATGCAGATAAACCTCTTCACTTATTACTCTTTATGAATATCGTCGAAGCGAATATTATGTGGGTGGTACACATTGTTATAATATTGTGATTTCCCGTTGATGTTCTAAATTGCATATTAATAATAAAGTGTTGTTAGCATGATAAACCGTAATATTATATCATATTTTCGTAAACTTGGAATATTATGCTTGGAAATGAAAATAAATTAAACAATTTCGTTTAAAATAATGTAACATGTTTTAATAATAGTAATAATAATAATAATTTACTATGCTAATTGCGTATAAAAATAATACTGTTGTACGTTTAAGTATAGTATGATATTTTATTGTTGAAATACTTAGTAATAATAATAATATATTGATGTCAACAGGAGTATCTAAATTATTTTAAATTTAAGCTATCTTATTGTTGTTATCATAGTACCTACAATAGAACTATGCTGTTAACATTAATTATGCCTAACRAATATTAAACTATAGTTAAAATAAACATAACAACCTTTCCTCAATCGTACAATGTTCAATTTCCTCATGCAGATATTAATTAAATAATATATACATATATATTTTTTTTATTTGTAAAAATTTGTGCTGATACTTAATACATTTATTACGGAATTATATTTCTGTGTGAATATATTAAATTTGTACGTAATATATACTTTGTATTTACATATTGTGGTTATTTATTTATTATGTTTTTTATTGATGACTGATTATTAATGAATTATTTTTTTTACGAAGGTAGCTGAAGATAAATTTTTTTTTGTATCTAATATATAGTCATTTACATTGCGTTTAATTAGATTATATATGTGTAAACTTGTCGTAAACAAGATATTATGTAAATGATTATTAAATTATATAATATTATTCTATTACATATTAGCTAATATCTATATTATATTTTATCTTTAGAGCAACAGTAGGGTGATATACTCATAAGTATATAAATGTATAGTTTGTTAGGTAGTACTTACTCCTTGATTTATTCGGTCAAAAAAAACTAGGTAACTGATTAACGGAATAATTTTTCATGTTAAAAATAAAATTTTAGTGTTTGAAATAAATAAACTCAYTAAATTGATCTAGTTTTTTTTTATAGTAATATTCTGATGAAAAATGAAAATAATAAAACGATCTGTCGAGGACGAGAGACATTTTTACAACTATAGGTTCAACATAAACAAGAAAAATGTATCAATACATCGACTTAATTTTGACAATTTATGAAAAGATACGATATATTCAATATTGAGTCTAAAATCTTAGATTTGGAAGCACGAGTAATTTATCGTCCAATCCTTTGCGTTTTCACAGCAAAAGCCGTGGAAACATAAATGTTTTCTATTGTCGATGGATCATGAGGGTCGATCACGATGGAACTTCAAACACCATGTAATATCAACCGTAGTCACCTTATTAGAGCCCTAGTTTTTCGACCGAAATATGGTAAGCTGTAAGTGTTTATATTACTTAATATAATATTATTATTGTCGTATTATATTATGCTTCGAAAGTTCTATTAATATATTAACAACTCACAAGGAGATACCTTTGAGCTATATCTATGTATCTAGGATAACAAAACAAATTATAAACATATTTCATTTATGTGAAACAATATTATATAATAATATATTCACAGTATTTTATGTCAAGTTTTTTTTGCTCAAAAAAGTATTACACATAGGAGGAAAAACGTTTATTCAGCTACAATTTCGATTTGAGACGGGAATGAACTGTTGGCGTCGTTTTGTGTTTGTTCATTTGTTTTTATTGTCGTTGGCTGCTGCCAAAATTCAAAAAAATTTAATTTATACTATTTTTGATACATGAAAGAAAAATGACCGAAAAGCATCCGTTTACATAATAATGGCATGAGACTGTTTCAAAAATGTGTAGTAAACAAATTACTTATACACGATGTGTATATTTAATGTTAAAATTTTAATTTATTTTAGATTATTAGAACTATAGATGAAATATAATATAGCCACATGGCTACGAGCAAACTTAACTAGTCCTATAAGTYTTCAATATATTATACTATAGTATCATTTTAGATTCTGAGCGGAGCGATGAATGTATTGATTTTACCATGATGTGTTTTTTTTTTTTGTGTCTGTCATCACGTTTTGGGGCAGTAAAAGTGCTTCTATTTTTGACTTCAGTACCTCGTTCGATCAGAAAGTGAATCTAGTTGGTACTTTGGAGGGTCAAAAGTAAATAATTCTTAATACTTTTCTAAATAATCGAAAAAACAAACTAAAAATTACGGAAAAAACCGGAAATTTAACGCACAATCAGTTTTCGACAAAATCGATTTTGGTTTTTAATGTAACTTAAAAACGAATGACCATAGATACATTAAATTTTCACCGAATGTTTATTTTAATTTTTCAACTTTTTTGGTTTTTTTTCTATAAATACCTATCGATAGAAATGTATTTGTTAGGTAGAAAAGCTTGAAAATTTAAAACAAGGCTTCTAACACATTGTAACAATAACAGTTGAAAAATTATTTTGAACTAGAAATTCATAAAAAATTTTGTTTTTTAATCTAAGATTTGAAAATTTTTAATAATCTATAATATACACTAGACAGATAAWCCGTTTCCGCTCAAAATCGTTTTTCGTATACAATGATATAATATAATTGAATTCAAATTTAATTCCATCCATTACAGTAACCCACTTATAACCTTCTGTACAGCAGAGTGACATCAACGACTTACCCGCTTTTTTATAATATTATAATATGAAAAACATTATTATCTCATTCGGACACGGCGTATATCATATTATCACAATAAGCAAATACGTTTAAAAAATGTGAGAAGTTTATATCTAAAGGTGACTCAGCCAAATTGTCAGCTTAAAATTTCGTAGGAGTTATTTTAATATTAGTATATTAGTAATACAGTAATATCTTCGCGAAATACAAAATTAGAGAAAAAAATTTATTAAACGGCTACGAAATTGTTATTGTTCATACAATGTTGATTTTGTATTTTAAAAAGCAAAAAGTACCTACTCTGTTTAATTGTTCATTATTGTTTATTACAATGTTAATAAGTAGAGTTGACGTACATAGTTTGAGATAAAAAATATCTAACACAATGTGGTGACATTAACATGATGAAAAAAATCGTAACACTAAAAATCATTTTAAAAAAAAAGACAGCCACGGGAGTCGATGACAATAGTGATGTTTTAGGCTGTGTACGGCAGAGCGGAACAGTGATTGTTGAATCGTCTTCATGCACACGGTTCCAGGCTCCGGATTGTTCGGTTTATTAGAGCATTAATTTTGCCATCAAAATTATTTAGTTGGGTCATTTCACTTCTGCTGCAGTAGACGTGGGTGGTACCGTGGCTGCTTTTCCGGCGTTTTTCTTTTGAAAAGTCAAATGAAAAACAAACCACATTGGTTCAAGTACCATGCAAAACTTGTATCAATCGTCTAGAAAAATTGGAAATTATTATTTTTGTTTTTATAAAGCAGACTCTAATCTGAGTGGAGTACTGTCAATTATAGTGTAGGTATTTGACAGTTTCGCATCATAAAATAACATAATACAATAATTTTCATACATAAGCATTAAAGGTATTTAACTAAAAACAATTGTTATTCATTTTATTTAATTCACTATGGATATTATATATTATTTGAATTTAGAATTGTACTTAAGCATACACCCATAATTCATAAAAAATCACACCATGACATATGAACACTTTCCAATATAACTTACGTAGTTACGTTTTGAGTAATTAAATATAATTTAATAARCCCAGAAGTATTATTTTTGTATTATTCAGTTTAATATAAGTTTTCAATATACGATAGGATAGTAAATATTGTTGGTTGAAATAATTATTTCAATTGTTATTTATTTATAAAGTACCTACTGGAACTTAGTGAGTTAGAATTAACACATAAAACGTGTTGTCCATGTTTTCTTAAGCAATTTTTCTCTAAGAAAATCTAAGAATACGTATACTATGGATTCACAATCTAAACGTGTACATATTTTAGATCTACAGTAAAAATGTCTATGATTTTTGGACTAGGACCATAAACGGTTTACTAGTAAAAATACATATTGTATTAAATATGATATTTTGGTAAAATAAATATAATTTATTAATACTCGTATTTTTTCAAAAGAAAATACAACTGAGGTTGTTTCTCTTCAAAAATGTCAGGGTGATTCATTTTAGTCGAAAACTAATTTTTCAAAATGTATATCGTAGTTTATAATTCCACTGATATTATTTTTTAAATATTCAATTTTGTGGTTGTAAAGATGACTTCTATTTTTTTGTAGGCTTTTTAAAAATACATTATTTTATGAATGGATGTTTTTAAAAGTAAATTATTAATTAATACCTAGCAAAAAATATATTCGTATTTCGTAAAGTTTATTGTACGTACCTATATGTGTATATTCGGGTGAAATACATATTTAACAATAATATCAGGATATTTATTATTTGATTATATATTATGAAAGCCGAGAATTTGGAGTCAACCATATTGTTTGAAAATGATTACAACGATAAGCTATATTTTAATTAGGTATAAATTCCGAAAGTTTTGAAAGTTTTCTGTGCGCACATTCGATTATTTCAACATAAAATTATAATCGTTAGTAGTTTGTAATGCAATATGTCTTTGTGTTATTTAGTAAGCGTTAGTTATAATTATAAATACATAAAATATTGTTAATTTAAAATCATCAATGATAGTTGTATACTTTATTCGAAATAGTTTTACACATTTATCGTTTTCGTTTCGTGATCCATATATAGTTGCTTGATAAAATATGCTTTATATTTATTTATACGCACGTGTTCTCTCTTTGATTTAATCATAAATCATCGATTTAATAAAGTTGTTAGTTGATGAAATGTTTAGCTGAGATTATTGTTATAAGTAACAGTTTGGTTATTATCTCTCTGTTGCTTGTAAAATATGTGCCATAAATAATTTTAATGATTTTCATTCTTCTTATTTGTTATTTGTTAGCTTCAGAATTTTAAGATAGYAATTACGTTTTTCATAACGCAGAGCTTTCTTTTATGTAGAAATGTCATACAACAGCAAAACGAAATAGAAATCACTGTACAGTAATGATAGTATAGGTATATTATGTCTTTCAGTGATAAATAATAAGTAAAATTAAACAATTAGCTTTTCTATTACGTCATTAAACTTTTCTGATTATAACTCCGTTTGACTAAATAAAACCAAGTATGATATTATTTAAAACTTTTTTATAAAAGTAATTTTTTTAAATTAATTAGAGGCCGGAGTACGGTTAAACCAAAAAAGGAAATTTCTGCTATTTTAGGCATTTGTTTTATTATGTGTAACAAGATTTAACTATTAAGCTCTGCAGCTAAATGAGCTATATAGTCTCTGATAATACTCGACCAAACAGTAACCACTATTCAACCATATCTTTCTATTAAGCATTAGGTTTAATTTAGTGTACACAAATTGTAAATTTACGATGGAATTAAAATAAATATAATAAAAAAATATACACATAGTATAATGATAAGCGTATCTATTTAAGATCTCTTATCACTCTTCGAAGTAATTTATTGTTTTTGAATAATGCGCTGTTGTGAAAACAAGCGATTCTCATTAGGACCTCATATATGTRTTAATAACGGAACATTTACAAAAAATAAAAAATGTATATCACTGCGGATCACGGATGATAGACCTCACGCATTCGTCATTATCATAAACAATTTGACGTTTTAATGTCAAGATATYGAACCAATGTTTTCACCATAATARATGTTTTCAGTGCATCACATTTGTGCATCAACACGTGGTGTCTTGGGCTGCATTATTATTCCTCTAGATACCTCACAGCTCTATATACTRTATACACCTATTGARCTTGTCAAAAAATCTAATCATTTAAATGTCTTCAMTGTAACTACTGCAGTAGTCTACAACTCGTTTTGATAGCTTTCTATAACACATTTAAATATTTATTTTATTTTAATTAACTATTACTTTATCCAAACTATTTAAAGTATTGATAATATGCCTGATTCAGAAAATTGTTCACCTCAGTGCAAAACATTTTCTTGATTTTGATTCTCAATATGGCTCATATGGGTTTATTGATTACTCGGATTGCCGCATTTGGTGACTGCATTGATTTATGCAACAAGCAAACACATTAAATGCACTTAGGAATCTATTATTTTGAAAAATATTGTAATGGATGCACTTAAGATAAGTATAGTTAAATAATTAGTAGCAATCTAGTGTTCAAATACCAATGTTTTCAGATTCTTGGGTTGTTGTCCATTACTGATCAAAGGAAAAAAATCCCATTATCTCTCCTACTAGTATTTTATGTATACGTAGAAAAGCTGTTAATTATTGAATAATTTATCCCTCTGGTATCTTGGTCGAT